CGGCTGTGGCGTATATAAAAGGATCCACTCAGCTAATGTCGCTGACTAGTAAGGACTGTGATACTGATTTTCATTGGATTGTAAAACCGAGCGAGCACTGGACGCTTGTGAAAAATAAAATAAATTAGGTACTTTCCAACAAAAAAGAATCATCAAAATCGGTTCACAAATAATCGGGATAATTGTGTAACATACACAGAAAAAAATACAGTCGAATTGAGAACCCTTCTTTTTTAAGCCGGTTAAAATATGTATTTACAGTTAGCTCCTTGAAAAGGTTTAGCATTTCGATTCATAATTTTTGCACTCGGAGTCTTAGGCTTAATTCATATCGCAAAGACGCTACGCGACGCGTCACGGGCTGCTTTCAAGCGAGCAATGCAAGATAATCTTTATACTCAACAAAATAAAGCAACATTTCATTAAACAAACAAATGAAAACGAAGATGCAGTAACCGACGGCGGGCTGCAGACAGCTACTACGGTAGGCACACTTTATAAAATGCAATATACTATAGAACATATTCTACACTTAATAAAGTATACATTTCTTCAAACAACAAAAAACAAAAGAGTAAAAGCCGCGCTACGTCGCCTACGGCAGGTAACGGTCGGCGACGCTGCGCGAAGTCATTAAGCGTCGGCGACTTGTTCCACCTCCAGCAATGCAAAGTGTAACTTAGATTCTCAACAATAAGGTATATATTTTTAAAAGGCATATTGCGTGGTAGATACATGTAGTATAAAATTTAATATTTACTAAACAAAGTCGATATTTCTTTGAAAGCAAAGCAAAAAGCAGCGCTGCGTCGCCCTGCGCCGCCGACTGTCGCTTACCGTCACCGACGCAGCGCGGCTTTTCTCTTTTGATAGACGTAACATATACTTTATTCAGTAGATAATATGTTCTATATTATAATGCATACTATAAAGTGCGCCTGGCGTAGCTCGACGTCTCCCGCGGCCGCTTGTTGCCGCCTTTACTGTGGTTGTGTTTAAGCAATTTGTAGATTATTCATGCAAATAATATTGCATGGATGAGAAAGTCCCGGGTTTCATTACCGGTAGAACCAATTTCGGAAATGTACTTCTCTAAAGTGTTTTTGGCTTAGGTGTTCCGGGTAGTGCCGCGGAGCGACTTTGTAGCTCTTGGTTCAGGGTTCGACTCCCGGTAGAACCAATATTGAAAATGAACTTTTTCTAAAGTGTTTTTGGCCGCGTAGGTATTTTGGGTAGTGCCGCGGAGCGAACTTCGTAGTCTTATGTTTCGAGTTCGACTCCCGGTAGAATCAATTTGAAAATGAACTTTTCGAAAGTGGTTTTGGCCTAGGTGTTCTGGGTAGTGCCGCGAAGCAAATTCCGTAGCTCTTGATTCCGGGTTCGATTCCCGGTAGAACCAATTTCGAAAATGAACTTTGCTAAAGTGGTTCTGGCTTAGGTGTTCTGGGTAGTGCCGCGAAGTGAATTCCGTAGCTATTGGTTCCGGGTTTGATTCCCGGTAGAATCAATTTCGAAAATTAACTTTGCCAAAGTGGTTTTGGCCTAGGTGTTCTGGGTTAACTTGATGAACTAAATTAAAAAAAAAAGTGAATGAACTTTTCCCTGATCTGTTGTCAGACAACCACCAGTGCCCGTAGCATGACGCCGCAATAAACCTATTATAGCCACATTTAGGTGTCAAATTAAATTGATAAAGCTGCTATTTTTATTTTTCACTATAGCGAATATGGCGAGCACCGTAACGTCACATTTTTGATGCACAGCGCGCGTCTCGATCAATGGCCGCGAAACAATATCGCAGTGTCAAACATGGTCAAAGCTGATTTTAAAACATTTTGTCAGTACTACACGGTAATCTCATCAACGTAAAAATTGAGCGCGACAAACGAAATAAACAGAAACAATAAAAAGAAACAGAATGCAATATGTGATAAACATCCCTTTGATATACACTCCATAAAGCTATGTTGTCTTTATTAAAATTTTATTTTTTGTTTATTTAATAATGATCGATTTTTGTTTCATCGTTGTACAACGATGGACTTAAAAGGAATACAATTTTGCCGGCGATGATTAAATGACAAAGATAAGCTATACACGCAATTTCACATATCGCTATCCTTGTTCTTCAAAATGTATAACAAGCGTTCATTATGAAATAAACAAAAGAACGAATGGCGCTAGTGCGGTATTTTACCGATTCAGTACTCACAATAAAAAAATAAAATTATAATAATGACAACATCTATCATCAACATCTATTGGAAGTTTTGGGTTACAATTGCTCCATGTGAGACTGAGTATTTGGAACTACTGGAAATAAACCGCTTTATCGGCTGCATTATACATATATGCCAGAGGGAGGCTTACCACATATCGTATGCGATATACCGCCATGCTACGCATGCTGGTTTCAACAAGGGAACTCTCTGTACTCCTTATGAGCACCGGAACAATGAAATCCAAACAGGGGCATTACCAGAATATCTAGGCCAAAACCACTTCAGAAAAGTTCATTTTCCAAGTTGGTTCTACCGGTAATCGAACTCGGAACCAAGATTTGCGGAATTCAGTCTGCGGCACTACTCAGTACATCTAGGCCAAAACCGTTTTAGAATAGTTCATTTTCAAAATTGGTTCTACCGGGAATCGAACCCGGAACCAAGAATTACGGAATTCACTCCGCGGCACTACTCAGAGCACCTAGGCCAAAACTACGTTAGAAAAGTACATTTCCAAAATTGGTTCTACCGGTAATGAAACCCGGGACCTTCTCATCCACGCAATATTATTTGCATGTATAATCTACATATTGCTTAAACACGACCACTCATCCATAAAGTAAATGCAGCAAGAGGTCGAGCTTCGCCGGGCGCACTTTATAATACGCATTATAATATACAGGGTGGAAATTTGTAATGCCACTTAGAAAGAAAGTACGTTAAATACTGGAGATAGACATTTTTACTTAAAACGTTCCATTATTTTTAAAAAGAAATAATACTGCATTAAAAGATTTTCGAAAATTGCTAGCCACACGCGGGAATCGAACCCGCTAAAATCTTTTAAAAAATGCATCCTGTACTTTTATTAAATAAATAAATAAATAAATAACGCACGCACTCAACATAGCCCCGCAATAGGGAAACCCTGTGTCGCGGGTGCCATGGACACACACATAGACAACCACAAATTACACCCAAACTCACGAGAGAAATAAATGTAAGCCATACAAACATTTCTCCCGGCCCGGGAATCGAACCTGGGACCTCTGCGTGGCAGTCCGGCATGGTAACCGTTCGGTCACGGAGGCAGTTAAAATCAATCGATAGGGTCAATTATGAGGATGAAATCTCTCTTACAAATCATGAAATCTGGAGTTATAAATTCAATGGATCAAGTTAAAGCACTTTTACTCAACGGTCCATCAGATTACTTGTTAATTATTGTTGACATCATTTATCCATTAAAATGACGAAGTACTATTTAGATAAGAAGATTGCAATTTGCGCATGTTTGTAACGCAGACTCTTTGGTCCATCATTAACCATTTTAATACCTGGATTGGTACAAACGGTACAGATGGCCTGCGAGATCACCAGATCTCATTTCCCAATTGAATTTTTTTAAAGTTGAATCAGATCCCTTTAGATTTTTTTTGTGGGGATATGTTAAAAATCAAATTTACCTTAAATCCTATGCGAGTGTACGAGTTGTAACGAGTTGAAGGCTGAGGTTAAGAATACGGTTTGTAATACAATTCATCACAACACGTTATTAAAAGTTGCTCAAAATGAATTCGTTAAAAGATTAAATTTGTGTATCCAAAAAAATGGAGCTCATTTCGAGCAACTAATTAGTTAGATTTACCATTTTTTTCGTTTTATTAAAATACGTTAAGATTTCATGCTTTTATTTCATTTAATTAACCAATTTTGTAAGACAGATTTTATTCTTATAATTAACACTATCGATCGATGCAATAAAAGTGCAGGGTGCATTTTTTTCAGATTAAAGCGGGTTCGATTCCCGCGTGTTGCTAGAAATTTTCGAAAATCTATGAATGCAGTTTTATTTCTTTTAAAAAATAAAGGAATGTTTCCTTTAAGTAAAAATTTCTACCTTATTTAGTATTTAGAGTACTTTCCCTCCAGGTGGCATTACAAATTTCCAGGTATACCGATAATCGTTTTGAATAAAAATATAGGTAGAACATACTGTCTACTAAATAACGTATATATGCTTCTATCAAAAGAGATTTTGCTTGGCTTTCATAGAAATAGCGAGTTCGTTTAGTTTATTTTACATGTAATATTATATACTACATTGCATCTACTACGCAATCTGCCTTTCAAAGAAATATACCTTATTGTTGAGAAGCTAAGTTACACTACAATACAAATTGTCAGAGGCGAGACAAGTGGGCGGAGTCGTGAAGCACGACGCGTCACGCGGCTTTACTCTTTTATTTTTTGTTATTTGAACAAATGTATACTTTATTAAATAAAGAATATGTTCTATAGTATATTGCATTTTATAAAGTGCGCCCGCCACACCTCTCTACAGTCCGCCGCGCCTTGAAGGAGCTTCGTGTTCACGTGTTTGTTTAATGAAATGTTGCCTTATTTTGTTGAGGATAAAGTTTATGTTGCATTGCTCGCTTTAATGCAGCCCCGCGCCGCGCGAAGTCACCTACGATCGCTAACTACCTGCCTGCAGCAAGTTACCTGCCGTAGGCGACGTAGCGCGGCTTTTACTCTTTTGTTTTTTGTTGTTTGAAGAAATGTATACTTTATTTAGTGGAGAATATGTTCTATAGTATATTACATTTTATCAAGTGCGCCTACCGCAGCTCTCTGCAGCAGTTTGTTTAATGAAATGTTGCCTTATTTTCTTGAGAATAAAATTTATGTTGCATTGCTCGCTTGAATGCAGCCCGCGCCGCGTCGCGTAGCGTCTACGCGATATGAATCAAGCCTTATTATTCACCTAGACACTTGTTGGCTATTCGCTAAAAAAGAACAAATTTAGTTGAATAAATATCTTGTGTTCTATAGACGCAAACTGTTTTTTATTTTCTTTTTAAATTTGTCTCCCCAGCATTTAATGAAGGTTGTAATTTTGTAGGTTGTATTTTTCATTTTTGTTTTGAATATTTTCCAAACATCAGACGCTGATGGACTCCTTTTTCTTCTAATATTCAAATCCTTTTCCGGTAGTTTCCTCCTCAACGGTCTGTAAGTATTTTAATAAATAAAAATTTATTATCACAAAAACAATGATGGTACCTGCATCTGTTTCATAATCACGATGATACGGGACAGACATGCTCTATTTCTAAGTTTACAGCACACAATGTGGTACCTACTTTACATGAAAAGTGTCTATAACAGGCCCAAAGACAATAAATCCCTTCGACAGGCCTTTGTCAATTATCAGACATAAGTCCAAAATTGCGGCTTCGTTAAGATTTGTAAAATTAAATATTTTCTATTACCAAATGTCAAGTCTATCAATAGAAGGAGCGGCCGGTCGAATTCCGTTCTTAGATGGTGCAATTTAAAAAGCCGTGGTAGGCTAATGGTTCGACCTACCGCCTCTCAAGCAGACGTCGAGGGTTCGAATCTGGCCTAATACATCTGAATGTAGTTTGTAGTTTTTCGGGATGTAAGTACCAATGTGCAAAATTGAATTTGAAATTTACCATACAAGCTTTCCGATGAAGGAAAATAACGTGATGAAGGTATAAATCCCCAATACCATTAAGCGAGTGTGGTGTGACCAGTGCCTAGCTGTGAGACGTATAAATGAGTTGATGATGATGATGATGATTGTATGATTTGAGTGGATGAAGGACGGTTTCGGGTGTCTTTAACAAACATAACGTTTCTAAACGTTCAGTAAAATGGCGGTGTTAAAATATTCTGGAAAAGCGGTTTCAGGAAACTTTTACGTAGATAATGTTGTTCTATAACAACACCCAAAAGATCTTTTTAAAAGGGATTTATTGTCTTTGGGTCTGTTATAGAACCTTTTCATGTAAAGTAGGTACCATATTCTGTGACATAAAAACTTACGAACAGGGCATGTATTCTATTATCTATATTTTTTTTCCTTCGAGAATCACATTTTGGCCTTAATGTTTTAAATCAGAGACGCTGGCACCTACGTAAAGATGTCGAGATAATTAAAATCTCAAATATGTTTAAAAAAGAAAGTCGTTATACTTACGGATCGCTCCATAATTCACGTAAGTTCAAATTTTTCAAGCTCTGAAAGAAAATTGAATTGTAAATTATTATGCAAATAAAAAGGGAACATTAATTGTTACACATAATTTAGCTTGATTTAATGAAATCTTACTTTATAGTGATTATAAATTTAATCAAGAATTGCTCGTAAATAAATGGTTTATACATATTTTGTAAACGTTCTCTGACACGAATTTTTTCTTCATCGTTGAAGATAAAGATGAAGATACGACGGATTTTTTTCGATTATCGGTATCGATACCTTTCCTGCGTATATTGTTAATTCTATCTTACATGCTTGCTTTTGGTGTTCAAATTTATACGCCCTGTAACACCTTTAACCTCCAAGACCCAGCAAATTACAATGGGAAAAGCGCTAAAAACCCTATGCATTAAATATAATTACATGCTTCAAGCCCAAGTAACGATGTCCTAGTTTGGTATGAATTACATATTTTTTAGATACCCTATTGCCATACAGAATGTATAGCGCTAAATTTTAATGCAATATTTTTATTACGTAGGGCGCACTATAAGTTTCTGAAACTGGCCACTTACTGAAAATGGAACTCTTTGATTGTAGAATACAGTTTGTTTTATCTGACTGTCACTTGTTTTTACATTGTGGCGTCATTTTAGAAATTGGTTGTCTACATAATCACGGATTTACCTCGTGAAAATTTTCGTAGTATGATTTTCTACATCTTTCAGTGTAATTTAACAGCTCAGCGGAGCTTCGCTCGGCTTAAAACTACTTTTGGTGATGAAGCACCATGCGGGACGACTATTTATAGCTGATTTGCAGAATTAAAATGCGGTCGTGTGAATCTCAGTGACGAATTTCGTGATGGTCGCCCATCCACGGCTGTGAACAACAAAAACATCGGTGCGGTGCGCTATATGATCAAAACAGACAGGCATATAACATACCATGAGATTCGGGCATCTTCAAGCATAGGCATGAGTCAAATACAATCAATACTACACAAACATTTCGATGTGAAAAAGCTGTGTTCTCGGTGGATCTCACACAATTTGACTGAGGCTCAAATAACGGATCGCGTCACTTAGTGCAATGCCATGCTTACCAGATTCAACGAAGGGGCGTCACATTTGATGTGGGACATAGTAACAGGTGACGAAACATGGATCTATGGTTACGAACCCAAAACAAAGCAGCAATCGAGCGTATGGGTCTTTCGAGATGAGCCGAAACCAACCAAAGTGGCGCGCGTGCAAAGTGCCTCTAAGCGGATGATTGCTTCTTTTTTTAATAAAACTGGACACGGGGCTACTGTTGCTTTGGAGAATCGTTGTACCGTAAATAATGATTGGTACACGACCATTTGTTTGCCGGAACTTATTGACAAACTCCGTAAAAATAACCGTAAACGCCGTATCATCTTGCACCACGATAATGCCAGTTCTCACAAGGCCAGATAGACAAATGAATTTTTGAAGGTGAACAACGTTGACCTTATGAGCCATCCTGCGTACAGTCCCGACCTAGCACCTTGTGACTTTTATTTATTTCTAAAAATTAAGAACCAGTCGCGGTCAACAATTTTCATCAACTGTCGAAGAGTATGAAAAATATGTTTCAGAGATTGTCACGGAGGAGTGGCATAAATGTTTTCAAAATTGGTTCATTTGTATGAAAAAGCACATTAACGCTAACGGAAAATATTTTGAGAAACAATAAATTCATTTCTGACCATGTTTCGGAAACTTATAGTGCGCTCCACGTATAATGTACATTGGGCGAAACGTAATCATAGGAATAATATTGTCTAGGTCTGAACCACTTCACGTCTTATATGCGTTTTGATGTACACAGGGTCTTAGGCTGTTATAGTTACACCTTTTAGTGTGCGGATAGCGAAATTGAACCTGCGTAAGTCGCAAAGACTCAAGTTCTTGAGTTGTTGGAGAAGAAACGTGCACACTTTTGTATGGAAGATAGGTCACAGGTGCGGACAGTGGTCATGTTCAAATTTAAGCACGACAAATATCGAAATTTTGTTCAAGGGAGTATGTTTTAGATTTTCTTAACTTTTTTAAAATAATTACATGAGGTGAAATAGACAAAACTTAAGCGCGTAGAGATATCTTTCTCTTTTCTACCGATTATGTCTCTACGTAAATTCTCTACCGTAGACGAAGTGTTCTCTACGTAGCGATAAATGAGTTGCCGCAACTAAAATTACATTTCATTTTTATAGCGGTCACACTAAACCAGTATGAGTTTTTAAAGGCGTACTTCCAACTCCTTTCATTCATTTCCCCCATGACGTTTTTTAGGGTTTATGGCGTGCAGCAAATCAATGAAAATAAAAGGTAACACTAATTTTGGTATATAGCTGTCATCGAGTATATAACCAGAAATAGAGGCGAAATGTCATTTAATTTGTTTGAAAACTATTACGCCATACCATTATTGTGACAACTGCGCTCCGATTGGCCAGTCCGAATTCGAAACAATTGACGGGTGTCGTCAAATGTTTCACTTCAAATAGACCAGTTGACTTGAGCTTTGCTATAATGGACGAAAATTGCAAAATCACATATTTAATATTTAATTACCGATGAAATTTGATTGAGTTTGTTTTGTAGTTAGATGTTTTGCTGTTTTTCCCCACATCACCAAATGCAACAGCAAGCCATTGTTAGAGATATTATCTTTATTACAATAAATACAGAATGTTTTTGGAATATACGAAGACGTACACACAGGTCAGTTGTTGGCGCTGTCTATATTTCAGTGCAAACGAGAGTTGGTATTTATAAGTGATGTATCACTGATGAGACCAGGAATGTATGGAGTGTACTTATTTCGTGTCTATTTCTGGTTATATACTCGATGATAGCTACCTTCGTTACGCAAACCGTATTTTGATATTTTTGTCGAGTCAAAAGCGCATTTTGACGAAAAAGTAAATAGTCAGAAAAACAAACCAACTTGTGTTTACTGTTTGTCTGCTGTTCTTTCAAATGTTGACGAAGTTTGTCTCTGAAATTTACGGGTCAAATTCTGGGTAATAAACGCGAGTCTTCCTTCCTTTGTTTACTTTGAACCTCACAGATATACCTATGGACGTTTGGGGAGCTAGATTCTTATCTACTTCCTGGCACAAATAATCTATTACTTCCCAGGACAACATGACTGAGGAACTCGACCTTAGGAACATGAAACCATTCACAAAATTCACGTTCTTTGTCTCGTTTGTGCCAGTTTTTCCTCGTAAAAACTTAATAAATAATTACGATAGGCACGAAACACTTTCATGCCATAAAATTACTATTAAATTTAAATCACGAATTAAAAAGAAATAGTGTTTAAATTAAAATCACCGCTTGTCTTCTGCCCCAAGGGTAGTAGAGATATTTCGCTAGGGTGATCTGTTAAAAGTGCCTGTACAAAATTTGGCTGTCGCTGTTAGAGATAAATTCTCTTCATTTGAAATTTGCATGCGCGACAACTTAAGCCTCATTGCGCTTATGCTCGCGCCTGTAGTGATGGTTAAAGATAATTCGTAGTGACGACATTCAAGAGAAAATTGATAGTTCGAAGAAGAGATAACTTTTGCCTTCGACTTCATGCTAAGCCTGCTGTCGTTAATTAAGGCCGTTTCCTGATGTCCCGGTGCGATTGCTTAATTATAACGGTACTTAATTATAACCAAAATTGAATTTAAAATAGAATATAAAGATTTTAAAAGAGTTGTTAAATATGCGCCCCTAAAAAAGTTTTTGAAATGTCGCTTACGCCCTTTACAAAACTCAGACGACATATACTTACACAGCCGCAATCGTCTTCATTTTCTAAACTTATTGCCCTGAAACTAAAAAACAAGGATCATCAACTGTTGAGAATCTGATAAGGAACTGGAAACCGGAATAAACAGAGTATATTAAGTATACTATTTATCTAAACTATATAGATAATATCTCCCTATGAAATAACGAAAAGATTATAAATCATAACAAAATTTAGCCACGTTGAGGTGACAAACATTTTGACTCATCCGAAGAACAGAGTCCGATGTGATTATATAGCGAAAAGAGAATAAGTACGTTACCAGAATAATTTCGTTATTCAAACTAAGGCCTATGTAAAGTTGTTTGATAATTTAACTACCTTACTTCGTTTCGGAAATATAAAATCGAACAACGGTCGATCTGACATCCACAGCGAAGAAGGAACGAACGAAATGTACTTTGGTCCTGAGAACAAGTAGTCTTGCACATCGGATCGAAGAAATTTTTCTTTTTGTTTGTTTGTTCTTTGTATCAATAATAATAATAGCAAACTAATGGAATATTTTCACATAAATAAATGAAAATCATGGCAGCACAACATGACGATATTCAATAAAAAGAAATATTTCAAAACAAAATGGTTATATTTTTAACCAACTCTGAACAAGGAGGTTCTCAATTTGGCTGTATTTTTTATGCATGTTACGCGGTACGTGAACCGATTTTGATGATTCTTCTTTTTTTGTTGGAAAGAGGGTACCTCAGTAGTGGTACCATTTAAATTTGAAGAGAATATTCCACTTCCACAGATTCATCCCCTAGGGTGGCAAACTAGGGGAGCAATCCGGTTTCGCGCACTTTCCGGTAACAGATAACAATAACTTTGGCAAATAGATGTATTTCCACGCACGTTTGAGGTGGGTTTTTTTAGTACTCTGTAGTGATTAATTATTACTTACAATTACTAAAGTTTTCCTCTAAGAACCCTACGATAGTCATTGCTTATTTCACAATCGGGATTTCAGAGAGAAGTACTCCATATAATATATTGCTTCTTTGAAGTTTAAGTAAATATACTCGTACTATTTCGATCTGTGTAGAAATAAGAGATTTTTATTCAAAACGATAGTCGATATACCTGGAAATTTGTAATTTCCAGGTATATTTATTAAAATTTGTAAGGGAAAGTACTCTAAATACTGGAGGTAGAAATTTTTACTTAAAGGAAACATTCATTTATTTTTTAAAAGAAATAAAACTGAATTCATAGATTTTCGAAAATTGCTACCAACACGCGGGAATCGAACCCGCTTTAATCTGAAAAAAATGCACCCTGCACTTTTATTGCATCGATCGATAGGGTTAATTGTAAAAATAAAATCTCTCTCACAAAATTGGTTAATTAAATGAAAAAAATCCATGAAATCTTAACGTATTTTAATAAAACAAAAAAAATGGTAATCTGACTAATTAGTTGCTCGAAATGAGTTCCATTTTCTTGGATACACAAATTTTATCTTTTAACGAATTCATTTTGAGTAACATTTAATAACGTGTTGTGATGAATTGTATTACAAATCGTATTCTGAACCTCAGCCTTCAACTCGTTTACACTCACATAGGAATTAAGGTAAATTTGATTTTTAATCCCCACAAAAAAAAATCTAAAGGTGTGAGATCTGGTGATCTCGCAGGCCATCTGATTGTGCCGTTTGTATCAATCCAGGTATTAAAATGGTTACTAATGTAGGCAGTATACTCCAGATTTCATGGTTTGTAAGAGAGATTTCATTCTCATAATTGACCCTATCGATTGATTTAATAAAAGTACAGGGTGCATTTTTAAAAAAATTGCCTGACGGGTTTGATTCCCGCGTGTGGCTAGCAATTTTCGAAAATCTTTGAATGCAGTATTATTTCTTTTTAAAAATAAAGGAATGTTTTCTTAAAGTTAAAATTCCTATCTCCAGTATTTAACGTACTTTCCTTCCAAGTGGCATTACAAATTTCCACCCTGGATAGTCAGTGCACCGCCTTTTGTTTTCTGAACGTCATAGAATTAGAAATTTATGATAATCTCCGTACAGAGTACTAAAAAAAAGACCTCAAAAGTACGTGGAATTACATCTATTTGCTAAGTTTTATTGAAATATCCTTAAATCCGCCACTATACAGGACTTGACACTGGAGATAATAAAAATCGGTTCTCACTACTCAAAGAATATTGAGAGAAAAAGCCTTGAATTGGAGAAATAGTAACATCAACCATTAAAATAATTGCTCATTAAGAAAATTTAGACGCTATTTATAAAAATGAATCATGCGTGAACAGCCACCCTTAGAGGTGGATGATTTCCTTCAAAATGAAATGGGACCACCATGGAAGTACCCCCTTTCCAACGAAAAAAGAATCATGAAAATCGGTTCACAAATACCGGAGTTATCGCGTAACATACATACAAAAAAAAACATGCAGTCGAATTGAGAACCTCCTCCTTTTTTGAAGTCGGTTAAAAAAGTGTACTTACTCATTTTCCTCCAAAGCTCTTTTAATACGTAATCTTGAACTTCTGATATATTTCTGTAAATATATATATAAAATTTTATTTATATAAAATTATAAAAATTGAAGGTCGAACGTAACGAATTACAACTAGCTATGAATAAATCAAGAAAAAAAAATTAAGCTGCTTTCGTATTTCGTCAGAATGTCACAGAAAAAAGTAAACTTTACACATAAAACCACCAGAATATCCGACCACTATTTATAATACAGTATACTAGTATATAATTTTAGAATGCTCTCAATTTTGTAAAGTGCGTTATAATGCTGCAGGTACGCCGGCGGGTACGCCGACAGGCCACTGGTCGCGATTACGCCGCCAAAAAGTCCACTGCGCATTCAGGCAGACATTGGCACACACCGGTGGATTCCGATGCATACCGACGCCTCCCGCCGTGGTACACTCTAGCATGCTCTTTACTGCAGAGAGAAATACGCTGCGATGCTCCTAGATCGGTCTCGGAGCATTGTAATTTATACTTTATTTCAATTGCTATAAAATATACATTGTAAATTTCATGTCATCAATTCAATTTCATCTTCTGCCTTCCGTTGCATTGGCCTTTAGTCCTTTTGAGATAGATCAATATTCAAACCAACTTAAGACACTTCGCAAATTCTTGGGTCCTGGTGAAAATAAATCACGACCATTACGAACTTATAAAGTTATGCGAAATGCTTGTACACTTCATTTACATTCATTGGTACAGTGAAGTGAGAACGCGTGTAGGCCTTAATTGTATCAAGTACCAAATACCGGATAATGCAGACTTAAAAAAATAATAAAAAAAATATTTGGACAAACCGTGTTTCTTTCTGATCGTTTACGAACATTTGCTGGATCACAATATACTCGTAGAAGGACCTGTAATTAATAAAGAATGTAGCAGAACGGGTAGAAAAAGCTTAATTATCTACATAAATTATTTTCTCTATCGCGAGTTTCGGTTGACTGAGTTATATAGTATCTAAAGTAGTTTTATATTTCAGTACAGACATGAACAAAACAGTATACCGCTATTATCATCAGCTTATACGCATTCACTGCCAGACATAAGCCCCTGAACACGCCAACTCTCCAGGTCCTGTGCCGCAGCATCCAGCCGCTACTGGCTACCATCTCTCTCAAATGGTCCGTCCATCGTATACACTACGTTTACCGTGACGTGGTCGCCACTCCAGAAAAAGTCTGCTCCATCGACCATCAACCTTCCTGCAGATATGTCTGTCCCACTGCCACTTTTTTTTTCACGATTTTTTTCTTCAAACTTACCGATATTAAGCAGTTACAACACACAATCAAACGCCGCGTTGGTCTGCGATCAGCTAGCGTGGGCCACACACACCCTATGGTCATACACTTAGACCTTCTCCAATGTTTAGGAAACGCCCGCTTTATTTCTATGCTAATTAAGTACGTTACGTAGTTTTTTTTGGCAAGCCACCCCACGGCCTTAATAATAAACTGTAACCGTTTCAAAGTTTCTACGTCCGATTACGGGCATGTAGATCTTTCCTAAGGAGGCTATAATCCTAGACCACGGCCCTGTAGGTGTTAACGATTTGACACGCCCGGATTTTATACGGGTTTTTACCCACTTCTGCCCAAAATAGTAAGCGGAACCCATTATACGCGTAAAATAATGCGGAACTTGCTATTATTCTATACTTATTAGGCAACTCGCAATCTTATGAACTGTCACTTAAGTACTAGGGATGCATTGCGATTCGATTGTTATGAAAATCGATTCAAGCATATACGATCTTTTGTTTCAATTCATTTCAATGCGATTTTCAAGCGAATCGATTCAATAGAAAAGCAAAATATGTGACCAAGCAATAAACATTTTGTAATAATAATGTAATAATGTATAATAATAACATTTGAAAAGAACTCAATTTACAAATATTTAGTTGTAAATAGTTTATGCCCTCCATTTCGGGCGGAAATGGATTTTAACTCGATTTAACAAAGCATCCAGAAATTCATTAATCTTAATTACTATAATATACGTATTTAAATTTTTATTGAATTGATATTCAATTATTTTTTATGTGAAGTTACTCCACTAGTTTATTATAATTATTAAAACAAAGATTTCGATCTCCATTCAGAAAAAATCCTTCGATCCGGGCTGATTCGAACCGACGTCTTCTAGCACACCGTGTCAGAGGCTATACCAACTAAACCACGGCACAAACCAGCGGACCTCACGAATTTTTCTATGTGTTTGTTGTTGTGTCGTTGTATTGGGTTTTTCAACTATGTATTTAAAAAAAGTTTTACTTACCGTTATTACAAGTAAATATTTAACTGTGACCATTTCTGTTGCACTGTTTAAGTTGTTCTAACGTATCGTTATCAAAACTAACGTAAACATTTACTACATTAAATTACAAAATTTGCGTTTTCCGGGAAAATATTTCGTAATAAAACATTATATATTATTGTATTTTACAATCGTTTTACAATTTCCTTAGCCCACTATCGAACGGTTCCAAATACGCCGTTAAACTAAACGACGAGTTTATGTAGATGACAGTATTGTTTAATAATTAAGTACCTATGTCAGATAGTACAGTGGGGTGACGGCTGTGTATACAAAGAAACCATTCACTATGATAATAAATGGAACCTTAAATTGTGTACATAAGATTTACTTAACACAAATCAGTGAGTTTGTGTATATTAGTGTCGCTGGTGTACGACATTCACATTGAACACGTTAATTGAGCTTTATTAAATTTATTAACCCCGATAAGTCTACTGTGCTACATACAGGTCAGTAAGATTTTAAAAATGTGTATCACTACCTAGCTATAAGGTTTTCATTAATTATAAAAATTGGTATTAAGGAATATTGTAGCAAAAATAAAAAGAAGCCTTGTTGTATGTTTTTTCTGAAATATTTCATCTAAAAGTGTACAATATAGTAAGTTGCAGATAAGTCTAAAAAAAGGTATGTATAAAATATTATAATTCACATCAAGATTTCATTTTACATAGTTTTTACATAGTAAGTGACCTTTAGTTTCCCATCAAAATTATCAATTGATCAATGTTTGGTAAAAAGTGGAAATAAATCGTTATAAATCGTGGGTGGTCTACTTATAGGACAGTAGGCTAATACGGAAAATAATTTCTTAGCAGACCGTTAGTAGTTAGGCGCATGAGTAACATCTAGTAAATATTCAGAAAATATTGATGATGATGATGAAGATTACAAAAACAGGAAAATAATAATTGAAAGTGATCTGTCTATGTGTAGGCAACAGCATCTGCAAACATCTGCACAATACAGATGAGCCAACTTTCTTTTCACCGATCGTCTCACGGGGTCTTATAGATAAAATGGTACAGTCGATGTTAAAGACACGTTCAACTGTTGACAAATATGACATATCACTAAATATATTTACATATGGCCATTTATCAGACATTTTAGTAGTCTTATTTAATATTATCTTTGACACCGGTGTGTACCCGGATGTGCTTAAGACTACCAGGGTGTGTCCTGTCTTCAAGGGGAAGGGTGAAAAGTTTTTTACAATTACAGACCAATAACAATTGTTCCTATTATATCTAAAATTCTGGAATCTATACTATCTTCCCACATAATGGGCCACTTTGAGGACAATCAATTACTGATGGATAGGCAATTTGCATATCGGCAGAAGATGTCTACAATTACCGCGGCACATAAAATATTTGACTGCTTAGTTTCCAGTCTGGATGAGAAGTACAAAATGGCATATTTTGTGACTTGTCCAAGGCTTTTGATGTGTTTAATCATGAACTGCTGTTGGACAAGTTACATCATTATGGAATACAGGGCAAGAACCACAAACTTCTCATCTCGTTCTTATCGGATCGGAGGCAAGTAGTAAAATTATCCTTGAACGGTAAAACACTGGAGTTCGTTGCTGGTAGTGTAAACTTAGGAATTCCCCAAGGGTCTGCCTTAGGAAACACGCTATTTCTATTATATAGAAATGACCTTCCCACTGCCACCACAGCCGGCCTCTCCGTACTGTTTGCGGATGACACAACAGTCATAGTTAGCGCGCGCACGTACGAACAGCTGGGAGAGAGAATAAATGAAGGGTGTGAGCAGCTCCAGAGGTGGTTTTCATTGAATGGGTTGCTGCTGAATATCATTAATCCAACATCATGGTTTTCTCAGGCCGAGGTCTCACAGTCCGTGTGTAGCAAGCAATCCGATGCCGATATGCAATGAGAGAAGGTTCCTTGGCTTCACTCTGGACTCGAACCTTAACTGGAAGTACTATATTGACAGACTGTATCATAGACTGGGTGGGGCAGTCTTTGCGTTGCGTAAACTGAAATTGCTCATTTCTGATTCTGCATTAAGACAGGTCTATTTTGCACATTTCCACTCGTTGATGTCGTACGGTTCACTCATATGGGGTAACTCCACGGATTCCAATAGAGTCATGCTAATGCAAAAATGTGCCGTGCGCGTATTGGTTGGGATGAAACACAGACATTCCTGTAGAAATCTCTTTGTAGCGCAACGCATAATCACGCACTACTCACTCTACATTACGAAATTATAATGTACGTTAGAAATAATCTTTCTTCATTTGGTACTGTAAATGTTTCTAGCATCCCACTTCGCCGTACTGGTCATTTGAGAACAGTCCCCCGAGGCATGGCACTTGTAGAGAAAAACCCGCGTGTCATCGGACCTATTTACTATGAGCGTTCACCCGCTACTCTCAGACTTGAACCATCTGACGAAACATTTAAGCGCCGGCTGAAAGACCTTTTCGTGAAAAATCCTTTATACTCTGTAAATGAATTTATGGGGTTAAAATTGTAACTAATTGAGTATTTTCTATTTTTATTCTAATTTTTACCGCATTGACATTCTCTTGTATAATTGTTATCAACTTATGACGATCCTTGATGGAGAATGATATTTGATATGTAACTTAATGACAACAATATTATATAATGAATTGTTAATTTTATAATTATTGTGTATTTTTCTTATAACTTTCATTTTTGTCTGACGATCTCAATATAATTTCTTATACTTTGACATGTAGTGCAATTTATATTGTAATGTTATGTTTGAGAAATAAATGTATCTGAATCTGAATCTGAAATATCCCACGCCCCTCCGTTGAGCCCGACTGTTCTGATGAAGATTCGGAAAGAGGATAGTGTGGCGCTAAACAACCTGCCCAGAAACATATTACTTCAGCCTGCAGAAGTGTTTGTTCGAGGTGAAATTCCCATTACTGATACTGCGCAATAACCTATTACAAGTCAGACTAAACGCAGGAGAACATACGAATGGAGAGAGCAAGATCTATAAATTCTTTATTAATTATTATAGATTACTAAAAAGAAAGTTCCATTTCCTACATCATACTCCATCAATGTAAATATTCTAGATGAGGTCAACCATATCAGAGACTTAGGAGTCATATTTGACAGCGCGCTTTCATTCAAATATCATTTTCATAGCATCATCAATAAATCTCTCCGTATGTTGGGCTTCGTATGGAGGAATTGTAGGTCCTTTAACAGTGTAACGACGTTGAAAATAGTTTATTATGCCCTAGTTCGCACTAATTTAGAATATGCATCTCCCATTTGGAACCCAATGTACCAAAATCACATAGATCGCATAGAAAGCGTTCAAAAGCGATTTCTCTTTTTCCTCAAATTCAAATGTGCACCCTTCAACGTCGCCGTTGGATTGCCGATCAAGTTTTTGTACATCGTTTGATTTCGGGGCAAATTGACTGCCCAGAACTTTTATCACAACTCCAGTTTTCTATTCCACGTCGCAACGCCAGACCAAGTAACTATCGTCTTTTTAAAATCAAAAAGTTCAAAACTAACGTTGGCTACAATGCTATTTTGAACCGAGTTTGCCGAGAGTACAATAATTCTCTTAAAATATGTTAACATAGATTAATTGACTTAGATTTGTTTTCGTTGTCACTAAATAAATATAAAACTTTATTGTATAAATGGTCAGACTAAAAGTACCATAACTTCACAGTTTAATTTAGCATGTTTACTTATTGGTTTTGTTTTATCCATCAATTTGTCTGTAATGTAACATACAAAAAATGCTTTTGACACGAGCTTCTGATATGTGCATGCTGTATTTGCCTATTATTGGGTTTACACTCAAGTATTTTATGTAATGTTATTGTTTGTTCATGTACAATAGTATATTTCTGTTGGCAAATCTAATAAATAAATAAATAAATAAATAATAAAGACCTTAAAACGTCTCCACTGGAGTGGGCCGAAGTCCATGGTGCTTTCCAAGATAAACGTCATATTAAGTCGTTCGATAACTTTATAAATCAAGTTGTGATTTCCCTGTTGGTATCAGAGAGTAACTGTAAGACGTCAAAAAAATATGCCAGGAGGTATAATCGCTGATAAAATGAAATGTTTTATTGGCATTTTGTTGGTCAGTGGTTACGCATGGCTCCCGTGAAGAAGAATGTATTGGGAAAATTCTCCTGATACAAAAAATTACTTGATCAGCTCGGCTATGACAAGGGATAGATCCGAATTTATTTTTGAATGATAACCTCAATCTGCAAGACTTGTAACAATGCTGAGTAAAAAGTTTTTGGTATTTTCTCCTTTCGATGAACACTACAGCGAATATGAAGTTATGACCCCTTATTATGGTAGACATGATTGCAAGCAGCATATCAAGGGGTAGCCGATCCGTTACGGGTTCAAGTCATGGGTTGGAGCTACACGGCTATTCTAGCCGTTTGTTGTGGCTATAGCCATATCAAGATGCACAACTATGTGTGACCCAAAATATGAAAAAAGAGACTTGGGTGCTAGCGTTTTGTGACGTTTTGACATCACATGATCAGATTTGATTTTCTTTACTATATTTTTTGATAATTTCTTCACTGGAACGCTATTTTTAGAGGAATTCTAAAAATGGTTTTTGTTGTATTAGTACGATTTGAGACAAAACAAAAAAATACACGATGAAAAAAAAATATTTTTATTTTGTTTTATAATACCGAGTGACGGCACGAACAAGTCGTGCGTCTGGTGACAAGCGACACGCCTATACATAGCAGTTGCAGTGCCACGCAGAGCTTTTAATCGCAAAGATCTTAGGGGTCTCACTGCCACAGTACCCATCACCTTGAAACATAAGTTGACAAGTCCCATGTGCCTGTAATTTCACCAGCTTGCCCTAAGCAGTAATGCTCGCATTAGAAATAGGTAAGGTTTCTATAAAAAAAAAGTGCGCATTTGATCTCCATCTCACCTAACGGGAAGTGAAGATGCGGTCAACT